AAAAAAATACGAGTACTTATTTATTATCATTATCGATAACCCTACGTTGAGCTTGAGGTCGTCTCTATAGGAAATAGCTGTTGACTATAATGTGAGGGTCAGATAGGGCGAGTGCGTATTGTCTTTAAGGGCATGCAATTACTGCACTTTCGATAAACTTAACTTAAATACTTTGTATAGCGATTGACTTCCAGATTTAGATGCTGCACAATAGGTACAAATTATGTGATCCTGAGTTTGAGTCCTGGGTCGGACCAATCCAGATATGTTCAGTAGCGACTCGAAGATATAACCCGACTTTGATTCGTTTCAAATCCATAAAATATTTCGGATATGTTTTTTACCGACTTTATGGGATTTGAACCCGCTTCACTCGGTTTCCCAAGCGAGCGTTACCACTGGGCTACCACTGCTTATACCCTATAGTATAATGTGTATAATTATACATAGTGCAACTTATTTATATAATAGGTATATGTACAACAGTTCCGTTCCTAAAAGTCGTAACGAAATAGATATGTGACAAAAAATTGCAATTCATTATGCTATTCACTAATATATACCTCTCTATATATAAAATAATTTATTACTAGCGATTCGCCCTCGCTTCGCTCGGATTCGTCTCTAGATTGATTCCCCATACCAAATTTCATCTAAATCCGTTCAGTAATTCCAGAGATAATTCATAATTAATAATATAATTCCTACTAACAAACTCACAAACGTACAAACTTTACCTCTTTATAATACTAAGTTTGATTTTTAAATAAACGGGAGAGACTCTCCCGTGACCATGGATGCTGTAAAGCATTCGAAACGTCGGGAACCAAAAATCAAAATAAATTCGCGTTAAAATCCGAAAAGATAGTTTTATTTAAAATGTCAAGTATTCGCGTAAATCTAAGAAAGTATTAAGTATGATTGTTAAAAAAATGGATATGTTCATATATTTGAATAGCGCAATCATCTTTCTGCTAAACGGGTAAAAAGATACCTAAGAGTAAAAGAGTATAAACACGACAAACTGAAGTGAAAAGCAAGTAAATATCTACTAACAATATATCTATAATAGGCACCTTTCTGTACCATACTTATGTAAGTATTATTCAAGACATTATAAAATATAAAATTTAGTATTATGTTATTTTAATAAATACTTACACACGTCGCTCTCTAAAGGAAACAGTCGATTTACTCTTACGCCGGGGTCAGATAGGGCGAGTGCACTTCTTTTCTTATGCTAGTTCTACACGATCTGTGGTTTTTGAACGTTATTTCTAAAATAAATTCAAAAATGTAAAATATCAGAAATTATTTATTTACAATAAAAATTCAAAATATTTTATTCAGCATTAAATTATTACTTTTTTTACTGAACGTCATGAGTCTACTACCAGTTCGGAAAGAAGCCTCAGACCTGAGAAGAACTGGCGAAAGAAACTCAGCGGGACTAATATTATTTCATTATCTTTTTTTTTAATAAGAGCATTTGTTAAATATGATAAATGAAAGAATTACATTCGCTTAGTTTGAGTGCGTCCATAGATGCCTAACAGTAATTGTAGCAGCCCATGTATTAGGTAAAGATCCTTCAGGTCAAAACCTATCTCTGTTCTTGTATCCAAATCCGTCCATTCTTCCAACATGACGGAGTAACAAGCACACAAACACACACGTACACATACACAAACTAACAGTGGCTTAGAAGATACATGTACCACTTTATTTCGATACATCAAAAAGTTCCTGTAAGTTAGTTATTCTACTTCAGTTTACGTACATTTTGTCAACCCAAAAATTAAAGCTTAAACATATTTAAACAATGTATCTTTAAACTAAGTAAAACAACCACACTTGATGTTGCTCTTTAAGTTTTTAAATAAAGCCTATTAACTACTTATTTGTTTTCGATTATATGTGTGTATACATCAAAAACTGCCTCACGTAAGGTCCGAACTCACGATCTCACACTTGTATTTTGCTATGACTATTATTATGCTTATCAGTATAGTTACAAATTTACATAACTTATTAATTCAATAAATCTATTTCAATTGTGTAGAGCTAGCATTAAAAGATATCGACATTATTTCAACACGTTATTTTTATATTCATTGAAAACTACACAAGCGAACTACGACTTTATTTCTAAGATATAAATATTAAAATCGACTGACGTGATATCAAAATTATCATTAATTTGTTAGACTTTAGTCATTCAATTCAAGTACAATCAATTTAGAAGGGCTAAGGGCTCTCGATGTCTACTGGAGTCTGGAGTAATGATTTAAATGAAATAATGGTGCAATGTTTTGTCTTGTTATGTATTTGAGAGGTTTAAAAATACGCATTAAATTCTAATCTCTATTGTTTATACCATTTTCTATTCTACTTGTAGATAACTTCAAAGGAAATAGATAATAATATATCTATAGATAAGTTTTGGAAAGATCGTATTTATAAAAAGTATTTGTTTACTATTTGCTACTGAAAAGGAAACGACGTAGTATTATTTGTAGTTAAAGTTCAACTATCAATTCAAGAACTTCTAATACTTTACTAACTTTTAAACTTTTATCTCTTCGTTTTTTTTGTATTATATAATAACTAATCTTATGTATAAAATGTGATATTTATGAATATTAGTAAAAAACGTAACGTAGTAGTATAATTTAGTAAAAAATCTAACTCTCTTTGAAATGTCCAAACTATTAAGCCGTTTTTAAAGGGTTTTTATTGGATTCAGTTACTTTAGACGATAATGAAAGAGAATATTTTTATTCTTAGGAAAAAGTGTTCCCTCGGGATAACATAAACAACAAAAACGGCGTTATTAACAAGGGTCTTACATTTGATATAAAATACTATAAACAAACTATCCGTAACAACTATACATACACATTTGAGATGTCTAAAAAGTCTCTCCCATGACCATGATTGCTGTAAAGCAGCAAACCAAAAATCACAATAAATCCGCAAAATAATCCGAAATGATAGTTTTATTTAAAATTTAAAATATAAAAAAAATCAATCTATGAAAGTATTAAATGCTATAAGTAATTAAAAAAACACGTCTTGGGGAAGAGGAACCCCGCAAAACCGCCCTTATTTTATAAGGAAGGAAGGAAGCGAAAATCTGGCGAAGGCTAAAGTGATCAATCAAATCAAAATATGCTTTATTCAAATAGACTTACAAGCACTTTTGAATCGTCAATTTCATATTTTAAATTTAAATTAAATGTCAGTGTAGTCAGGCGTGTTGCTAGTGTTAAGAAACCATCCAAAAAATCGACGTTCGTGATACAAAATAAACACTTTTCATTTTATTAATCCGAAAAGATAGTTTTATTTAAAACTAGCATTGCCCGCGGCTCCGCCCGCGTTCAAATGACGAAAGCCCAAATTCTTAGGTTTTACATATTAGTATACTCTTACATTGCAGTTTTTGTATTTTTTCTTAGAAATCAGACATTTTCCCGCGGTAAAAAGTAGTGTATATGTTGACCCGGATATACAGCTATCACCATACTAAATTTCATCAAAATCCCTCCAGTGGTTTTTCTGTGATGCGGTAACAGACAGACAGACAGACAGACAAAAATTCTAAAAACTGTAGATTCGGTTTCTGTATCGATAATAATGTCTATTTCGATAAGATTTTACCAAAAACCATTTAATGTACAGATTCGACTCGGTTAGAATTTTATTATATGTATAGATTTAAAATATACGCGTAAATCTATGAAAGCATTAAATGCTATTTATTGCTTCAACATTGAAACTGAAACGTGGCGTGTCAACGATTGTTTAATGTGTATTTTATTTGTTGCTATGGAGACGTAGAGTTAGTTACGTGAAGTTGGATAGTTAATTTTTAAAGTAGAACTGAAAAATTAATTACGCTATTTCAAAAATGCTACATTTTTATATAAAATGTTAATATTTTTTGCCAATTTTATTGTTTAATCTACCTACATATTACATATAATAAAATTCTGAGTCGAATCTGAGTCTGTACATTAAATATTTTTTGGAAAATCTTATTGAACTAGTCATTATTAGCGATACAGAGGTCGGATCTATAGTTTTTAGAATTTTATCTGTCTGCCTGTCTGTGACCGCATCACGAGAAAGCCACTGGGTAGATTTTGATGAAATTTGTTATGATGATAGCTGGTTATCCGGGTCAACACATACTACCTACTGTTTTTTGGTACTCAGTAAGGCTTTTCGGTTGTCTTGGAACCATACAAATATATTTACGTAATGTTTTTATATATATCTACTTAAATTATGTACTATAATCGCATAATAAACATAGGTATCTATTATTATGATATATATAGATTAGTATTTAGTAATTGGTAAAATTGCGCCTGATCTCCTGCCATGTTGAACCACTACGAAAAGGCTCGGTTTTTTTTAATAAAATTTTACGCGGCCGGCACTGTTCTTTCGTGTTGCCAGTATGATTTTATAACCAAACACAAATATTATGATTCCTACTATAAATTATTAAATATCTATATATTATTTCTAAATACAAATTGCATAAAGCTTTTAATTAGAGATTACAATAAAATCAATATAAGTTAAAAATATTATTAGGGTGCTTATTGTTTTAAATGTTTATGCCAAATTTTTTATTTACTTTTTATTACAACATAAAAAAAACAACTAAAAATTGTGTTCGTTAAATATTTTTGTTTCATTTTTACTTTATACCTTTTTTGTTCAGCAATTCCTTAATCCAATTAAACATATTCAATCATCAATGACATATTTGTAACTTTTGATTTTTGAACTTTGAAGCATGGATGACAAATAAAACTGAGTTTGAAGTTTAGTTTTGGTATTTTTGACATCTGAATCTGATGAAACTTATGAAAAAATCAAAAAATGTTTAAAGTTAAATGTTAAATAAATATGTAATTTATCTAAAACACAAACCGAACGTTTAATACAAGTTGAAAATTGTCTTATGATTTTTTATTAAATCCATGGTATGTAATATAACCATAAATTTTATACGCAATTTGTACCTTTTCGCATCAATGTATCAAATTATTTTATTATTTTTAGGCGAGTTCAATAATTTTAGCAGGTCTAGGCATGGCAGCGGTAGGTTTCGCAGGTCGATATGTTATGCGACAAATGCCTAATGCTTCTGTTAAATTCGCTGAAGCTATGAAAAACCTCCCTAAGTTTGATACTGAAAGTTTGGCAAATTCAAAATATTATAAAGGTGGCTTTGAGCCTAAAATGACTAAGAGAGAAGCTGCTCTAATATTAGGCGTTAGTCCTACAGCTAATAAATCTAAGGTATAAATTATTAAATATTTAAAATATAATAGGTATAGTAATTTATTAATAAGTCATTTTTAATTATTTTTTTAGATAAGAGAAGCTCACAGAAGAATTATATATCTATATTTCTGATAAAATAATAAATTATATATCTATATAATAATAAATTATATATCTATAAAATAATAAATTATAATTATATATCTATTATATATCTATATTTCTGATAAAATAATAAATTTCTTACTCGCATAATTAAAACATTCATTCATCATCTAATAATTAAGATATCACATTTCGTAATTTGTTTATATTTAATTATTATGTCACAGATAAATAAAAATAAACATTTTTAATGAATAATTTTTATTAAATTAGTTGGTAAAAGTTCACCTTCTATATTTTATTTGCCTTTTTACGTCCCACTGCTGGGCAAAGGGCTCCCTTCAATACGAGGGGGATCAGGCCATAGTTCACTACGCTGGCCAAGTGCAGGAATAGGCATAATTTTCGAAAACTTGCTAGGTTTCTCATGCCGGTTTCCTCACGATGTTTTTCTTTCACCGTAAGACAATTGGTAATCACGTTGGAAATGATTCGCATATGAAAATATCAGAGGTGCGAGACTAGGGTTTTGAAACCACTCCACTCGGTTGTAAAGTAAATTTTATTTATTTTTTATATTATTGTTCATACTTATTTCTATTTATTGAAAATTATTTTTAAAATATATAATAACTATAAACTTCTTTTGAGTTACGAGCCATAGTTTAAAATTCTTCTATAATCTGTGACATATATTTCCCGCCATAAAACGTCATAATGAAATGTTTTACATAGTTAACTATTTTATCAATTTATTAGTAATCATTTGGATAAATTTTACGATTGTCGTTATCGGTTATGTTCTTTTGGGTGGACTACGTGCCGCCGGTCACATAGTGGTTTTTTAATTAGAAAATATATTTTCTAATAGATGGCGCTACGTTAATTAAATACAAGGTAACTGATTTGTGATATTGATCCATATATTTTTAATTAATATTATTATCTATACATATTATAAAATTGTAACTGAGTCGAATTGGTACATTACATATTTTTTAGAGAATCTTTTTGAAATAGTCATTATTATCGATATAGAGGTCGAATATATAGATTTTAATTTTTTTGTCTATCTTTCTGTCTGTGACCGCATCACGAGAAAGCCACGGGTAGATTTTGATGAAATTTGTTATGATGATAGCTGGTTATCCGGGTCAACACATACTACCTACTGCATGAAAATATCTTATTTCTGAGAAATCTATACTAAACGTTAAAACGTAAGTAGGGAGGAACCTAAGCGGGAGTTTATATAGAAATTCTATCTTTCTAATTTTTTAAAATAAGTTTTTTTGTACTTAATTAGTAGATATATATTTTTTTAATTTCATAACGTTTTTAATCAACGCTGTCGTGGTAACGAATTTTTTTATACTGTCATAAGGCTTACAGTAATCCTGTTGAGATAAGAGAAAAATATATCTCTATTGATATGGTAATTTAACTCATACTCAAGAATACATAGACAGAGTGTCACAGAACTAAGCTTGAAGCCAAACAATAATGATTTATAATAATATTAGCAGAACCCGCGGCTTCGATCGCGCTAAAATTCATATATTGTTTAATTTGAGTTATTTAAATTACATTATAAATCTACAATACTCAAAGGAAACATTTCGTTATTTAAAAAATATAAAATAATAACTGTTTTTTTTTTACAAAAAACTTACTTGAACCGGGAATCGAACCAAATAAAAATGAAAAAAAGGAAACCGTCACTATTTTATCGCATTCATCGATAGGCAAGGATAAAAAAATATTATATGGACAGCTTAACATAATTAAATGTACCTTTTTTTTTAACGTTGGGAAATGCATTTACGCACGAAGTGTGGGACTCACCGGCGAACCCAGTACTACCCACTAAAACCCAACAAAACCTTCCCCCGTCTTAATGGGGCGTCGCAGGATCGCTTACGCGTTCAACTACGACGCCCTGACGGCAGGTCTGCCGAAGCAGACCACAACAACCACGGGGTTGCTCCAAGGTCCACTCTGCTATCAGAGAAGTACCAGGAGCAACCCGCATGGTACACCGCCCTCCGAAGAGGGCCGCCTCCCACCGAAGCGGGCCACCTCCCGGTGCGTTTCTTGGCTTCGCGCCCGGTTGTATTGCCGGGCACTACTGAGCCCCCCCACCACGACAAGGTGAACGCACGTTGGGGGGGATAATTAAACATACCTACCCAAATTATCATAATGTAATATATATAAATGTAAAATATACTTATATAAATATCCTGAAATATTATAATGTAAGATTAATAACTGTGAGACTCTGATCCCACAGACAAACTGTGCAAGCAGTTTTGTGGGTCCATTGTAAAATTAAAAGTAAATCATATAGTGTAATAATTATAAAAAAAAACTCTTGAACAAACATTGTATCCAAAACGATGAAATCTTACAATTTATACACATCGACTCTAATTAATATCGTGGAAGAAACGCATAGGAAGTGGAAGACAAGTGTCTTAAATACCGAAAATGTCAACTTTCGTTCACTCAAAGTTTTTTTTTTCACCATAGAAGTTTTAGTTACAATAAAGAAAATTACAAATATACTTATTATATAAAAATAACGCAACTCCTCTTGTGTTGCAGATGTCCATGAGCGACGATAGCCACTTACAATCAGGTGGATCGTTTGCTCGTTTGCCCCTTTTTTCTATAAAAAAAAGTATTAGTTATTACTGTACAAGACATGTCCGCGTGGAATAGTGGCAAGAATGCTATATATATACTATATATACTCAAAGTTAATTTTTTCCATTTGTTCCATCCTGTACATCCTGCTATCCCGTCTATCTTCCCTCCGAAGGACATAAAATACAAGGGTAGTATAATTCAGATAGGATACATATTATATTTATCTTAGGGCGGAGTAAGGCTATCAATATTTTGTCTTTTCGACATACAACAATGATATGATAACATTTATCAAGTTTCACAAATATATAGAAATAATAACAGCGATTTTACTTTTAATCTACAATGAGTCATTGGATTGTCCTAAAAATATGTAGGTTTCTTAGAAAGTGGGTGCATGATTGTTATACCCGATTTCACCAACGTCACCTAAGTTTAAGGGATCCCCTAAGCATGGTTAGGGGGCTGTTAGGGGACAGTTTCTGTTTCACCGACAGTTAGGGGTCACCTAAATATTAAAAGGCCCCCTAAATTTAGGTGCTCGAAATATGGGCTTAAAGACGATGGTAAAACGAAATTTAATTTAGGGGCTAGTTTAGGGGACTTAAGCTAGGGATCCCATACGTTCCTCGGTAGTATAGTGGTAAGTATCCCCGCCTGTCACGCGGGAGACCGGGGTTCGATTCCCCGCCGGGGAGACTTTTCCGCAGGGGTGTTGCAGTGAATGCGAAAGCGATCCTGCACGCCCCATTGCACTGCGGCGAAGGGTTCCGCTGTGGGTTTTAGTGAGTAGGAGTCTCACAGTACCCTGCCCATGACGGCGGCAGGGTCCCCATGATGGGTTTCCCCAGCGAAAACAAAAAAAAAAAAAAAAAAGGGATCCCATACGTCCCGGGGGAGAAGCCAACTCCTACCGGGCGCGTCCCCAGGTGGCGGATAGGGGAATGCCACCCGCTTAGGGCGGCGGGTGGTACCGGAGAAATCCGGCGCGGACCAAATGGCTTGGGTGGGGCCGCTCGTCTAGGACTCGAGCCGAAGACGTTGTGGCCACCGGTGGTGGGACCGCTTGGTCCCACAACCGGATGATGGGTGCCGGTTGCGGGACTGTGGTCGCAGGCCCGCATCCGGCGGAGGAGTAGGCCGCGGCGGGAGAGGAGTGCCGGTATATCGGTGCGCCGTTCTCCCTACCTTCCGCGGCCTAGACGGGGCCACCACCGTTTGATGGCGGACGCGGTGGGGCTGCAGGGGAAAAGGAGTGTCGGTGTTTCGTTGCCGCTCTCCCTGTCCTCTGCAGCCGATTGGAGGTGGCTCACTTCGGTGGGCGGTGGTTAGGTTTAATGGGGCTGCTCCGGGTACCTCTTTGGCGTAGCAGAGTTGACTGAGGAGCAGCCCCATTGGTTTGGTGGTCTGCCTTTTTAGGCAGACCTGCCGCCGGGGCGCCGTAGTAGTTATGCGCAAGCGATCCTGTGGCGTCCCATTAAGGCGGAGGGGAGGGGAATGTCGGGTTTTAGTGGGTAGTACCGGCTCTTCTAGCCGGTGAGCCCCACATCACCACCTGGGGGATCAGGTGGTATGCGTAAATGCATTTCCCGACTTAAAAAAAAAAAAAAAAAAAAAAAAAAAAAAAAGGGATCCCATACGTAGGTGGTAGCTTATGGGTTGTTGGTGAAATCGGGCATCAGTCTAATAATTATTATTTAGGTGTACATTTTAATATTTTTAGAATTGATAATTAATAGATAACCCTAATAGATAAACTTGCACGAAAGTTGTTTATGCAGAAATGAGCAAAATGAACATAAGTTAAATAAAAAATATATGTAAAAAATTAAAAAATCTACATTACAATTGTCATTTTAAATACTTTAAAGCTAAAAGCTAATTAACACTGCTGAAGTGAACGTTTAAATATGATAAACCTTGCTTATACTATAATTAAAAATATAACTTGGCTTTATTAAGAGTCGTATGACATAATTAGCACGGCCATGCACACACGCACGCACGAATGCACACATACACGCACGCACTCACACATGCATGCACGCATACACGCACTCAAACACGCATGCACACACACACAATATCTCTTATAGGTTAATCTCAAAAAATAAAATATAACGCATTCGCTAGAGTCGGTCGTTACCACGTACGTACACTCGTACATACCAGTATGTATCGATATCAATTTTGAGTCGAACAGTGTTATCATATAAATAATTGAAATAATTTTTGCTTAATTAAAAAAGCTTGAAATGGAAACCACTACTTCATACTTATAACAATTATTTTCTTAATTAAATATCTTCTACATCGTTAGCACTTTTTGACTGACTTCATAAAATGGAGAAATTTTGAATATGACAGCTATGTGGGTACTTACTTTTTATAACTACATTACATGGTGCATTAAATTCAATATTTTATAAGGTTATTAGTAAGTTGCTTATAATATAACTAGCGAATAGCTTCACTCCGACGCATCCCTAGTAATATTTGTTTGTTTGTTTGTTTGTTTGTTTGTTTGTTTGATTGTTTGTTTTATCCTAGAAATCATTCCTTAAAAGGGTGAAAATGGAGATGAAAGTTTGTATGGTGAAGAAACCCGAGCGAAGCGAGTGTGAGTCGCTAGTAATTAATATTTAATATTTATTATAATTATATGCATGCATCGCCAAATCTTGGCTAATTTTATTACTTACATTTTATTTTATTTATAACAGATAGCGTATGTGTTAGCTATTTCAGGTCATCTGTCTGTATACTCGTCTAAATCGGCACTTACACACATACAAACTTTCGAATTTATATATAGTAGTATTAGTGATAAATCCTCCGCTTCTAAGGATTTTATCGCTATTTTCGATAGCCTATAACTGTCCTCAATAAGAAAGCTATAAATTGTCAAATCGCAATAGTAATTTCAGAATTTAGCGTTCAAAAAGCAAATAAATATTCTCTAGCACTAGTCGTTCTATATAGTATTATAGATATAGTAAAAAGTAAAAATTATACTTAATAAAATACAGTTGATTGGATACTTTATTGAAGTTCTTTAAATAAAATTGGCTTAAGAAATGAGATGTTTTTATATTCCTTAATAACGTAAAAAATGAACGTGTAAAAGGAATAAGAATTTTTCTATGGAGGCTGACATTTGCAAATCGGTTTTCTAATGAATGTCATTATTTTTATATTAGGCGATATTTACCTTAAAATATTTCCGAAACGTGACAATTAGGGCATTATATTGCCGATACTTGTATAATTTTTAAGTGTCTTCTGTCCATAGATGCCACTCATTTTAAGAAAACATAAAGACGAAAAGTTGGCAATGCCACAAAGGTGCTATACCTTTTCAAATATATACATATGATAAAATTTCGCTAAGTTACAATTTTATTATATGTATAGATGCTTTATATTAAAAGGTAAGATCACAAATTCCTAACGAAAATGCAATTTCTGAGAAAAACAGGCAAAATAAACTAAGTAAAGAGAACTCAAAGTTATTGGCGGAAGCTCAATACAAATGTAGATGTCGCAAGCTGAAAAATTCCAGCGATGTAAATGAGCCGATGCATTAATTATGATCAAAATCGGGTTAGCAATGCGAGGTGGAACCGGTCTGAGTCCTTGTGAGTGTAGAATCTGAAACTATTGGCTTGTTACTATGAAAATTATTGTAACCAATAAGTTTGAATTTAATTTAAGCAAATATGTAGGTAATGGCAGTGGTAGCCTAGGGGTAACGCGCTTGCTTGGGAAACTGAGTGAAGTGGGTTCAAATCCCGGGTCTCGCCCCTCTGATATTTTCATGTGCGAATCATTTTCAACATTTTCACTTGTCTTACGGTGAAAACCTGCATGTCGGAGAGAACTTTGTATGTTGTCGAAAGTCATGTACAGTCTGCCAACTTGCTCTTGGTGAGCATGGTGGACTATGGCTTGATCACCTTCGTGTTGAAGCGAGACTCGTGCACAGAAGTGGGACGTTAAAAAGGGCTGAATACACAAGTATGTAGTGTAATAGTACTAGCGATAGGTAGCATGATGCTGATAGTTGATAGCTAGAATAACCACATACCCGCGCTTCACTCTCGGCGACTAAGAAAACTCTATGTGTAATTTAAGGTATACAAAATTTCATCCAAAGTCCATCCATTTTAGTGTCGAGAGATAAATACACATACACACATACAAGATGTCGCATTTACTAATAAATAATAATACTAGTGTGCTTATGTAAGTTACATCTACTCAATAGTGTTATAATTTTAGCAGTAACTGTAAGAGCGGGTGGCAGCTTTCTTGTTGCAAATTAAGTTGCACTTAGTAGCTAGTATTTAATTTTTGCCCCCGACTCCGCTTGCATAGGTACATTGATAAATACTATATATTAATGCAATATATAAGTAATCTCCGTTATGAATTTCATTCATAAATCTTTGTAAGGACAACATTGACGACACGCTTGGCTCAGTTTGTAGTGACCCTACTTTCTGTGCCAGCGGTCGCGGGTTCGAGTCCCGCTGGGGGCATTCATTTGTGTGATGACGAATGTTTGTACTCCAGTCATGGGTGTTTATATTTATAATATGTATGTATTTAAAGTTTTATATGTGTAGTGTATCAACTATCTGGTATCCATAACACAAGCCTCGTAGCTTACCATGGAACTAGATGGCGCTGTGTGTTAATGTCCCAACGTATTTATATTAATATATATTTTTATTAACTACTTATTAACTTATTTATTATCTCAACTACAATCCGTTGGTATTTATATACCTGAATACATATTTATAATGTTATAATTTTTTTAACAAGCGGCTCACCCTTTGCTCGGGTTCACCTCTACAAACGCCGGGGACTAACAAAAACAAATCTATCTCACGACAACCTTACATTTTTCTGGAATAAAAAGTAGCCTATTTGTAATTCTCATATATGAACTAAACTATTGTAAAGTTTCATTAAAATCCAATCAGTAGTTTTTGTGTACTAAGCTATATAAGTAACTATAGTTTGTTAACTATCCCATGGGAACTATTTAATTTTCTGGGATGAAAAGTATCTAAGATACCGGGAATATCTAAGATAAGAGTAGTGAAAAGTATCTAAGAGAGAGACCGGGGATATAAGGTTTCATTTAAATCAGTCCAACATTTTCGGAGATTAGCCCGTACAAAGAGACAAACTGATAAACAGACAAACAGACAAACAGCAGAGAAACTCTGAATGAATCCGAATGAAAATCTGAATTTGTTCTATTTCTCTTCTTACATCTGCCTGACTCGCTTTTTAGCATTTTTTTTTCTATGTTCAGACATTCGACCTCTATAGTTTTATTATATGTATAGATCATAACATATTAAACTTTCTTATATCACACTCGCCACACTCACAGAAAGAAACAAGTTTAAGATATAAATAAAACGTACAATGGTTACTAAACAAGGCGTTTAGACGGCGCGTGCGCAGTCTATTTGCACGCCAAGTTCATTACCGCTTCATTCAAAGAGACGTGCCTCATTTCTATCGATAAGAATTATACTAGTTTTTTGTAAACATTGTATTATCGAACTTCTATATCTATATATATAATAAAATTCTAACTAAGTTGAACCTGTACATTAAATATTTTTTGGAAAAGCATATTGAAATACTCATTATTATTTTCACTTTATTGTTTTCACCAATAGAAAGAAGGTTTATCTATTTATGGGAGGCATTATCTATTAAGATGACACGTTTGGCTCAGTTTGTAGTGACCCTACTCGTGTGTCAGCGGTCGCGGGTTCAAATCCCGCTTGGGGCATTCATTTGTATGTTGAGCACGAATGTTTGCACTCCAATCATAATATGTGTTTATATTTATAATATGTATGTATTTTAATTTATATACGTGTAGTGTATCAACTATCCGGTATCTATAACACAAGCCTCGTAGCTTACCATGGAACTAGATGGTGCTGTGTGTTAATGTCCAAACATACATATTTGTCCCAACATATATTTTTTTTAGGTAATCAAACAGTAGGTACAACATTACATAAATAATTATAATATAGGATAACACATAAACCAATCAAGTTTTCACATATTAAAAATACAAAAATAAGAAGCAGAACACAATGAAAATAAAAAAAACAAGTTAAAACAAAACTAAAAAAATACAAAAAGAGACACTGATTAACATTAATAAAAAAAATAAGGAAAAAATATTTAATACATGAAACACAGAATTATCAATCAAACAATAAGTGATAAATACGTTGAAACGGATGCAAAGGAAATCGTTTGAGTTGTTATGGACACATATGTCACATACAGGACATGAAGGAGAAAGAGATGAGGTGACGAGAAATAGGAGACAGTGGAACAGGAAGACAAGCTGCACTGCCCCGAGTAATTTGGGAAATTGGCATAGAGATGATGATGATAACGTCTCACTAGTTAAAAATAAATACTTATTGACATACATTGTCCATTTATTATCGACGGTCGAAGGTAGCCCATTCGAGTCCTGCGCAGGATCCTTTATGGCCATGGAGATTATTGTTGGATTTGGTCAAGCCAGTACGCCGTTGGGCCTTGTCACTGAGCAAGCGGTGACTCAATAGCAGCATCTACCTTTAATTATTTAATTAATTAAAGCATCTACCTTTAATTAATAAAATATATGCAATTCAAATATAAAGTCTTAATTTGTTTTATATTTTATATGAAATACATTCATTGACAATTGTAGTATCATTTTATTACAAAATCTTTTGAAAACGAATTAACAGTCGAAGTATGTAATAAAGATGTTAACTGGATTATATTACAAAGTCAAACGCTAAGTGGTCCATCGAAACGATGATGTTAATTAAAACCTTTTATATTGCACAATAAGACCATGACAAAGTTGTCACGCCCACCTCCATACAAAACTACACATCACTGGCCATCGATATTGAACTTTGAAGTGGAACAACGCTCACGTATTTGAACTAGCTAACACCTTTATTTTTACTAGTAGATTGCACTGGTTTCGTCCGGCTAATTTTTATATTATTTTAATTGTGACTTCTCAAATCGAGCCCCATCCAAATAATTAAACTTTTTTAACATAGGAATACTTATACTATAGCTAAAAACTATCCAATGGTTTGTACAAAAATTTCATCAAAATCAATCAAGCCGAGGGAGAATTATACGAACACACGCACATAGGAATTTTATATAAAAACAGTATAAGTAGAAGAATAATTTCATTTTAACATTTTTACGAATGCCTTTACTATTTTAAAGTTACACTTATTTTTAACTTAACCAATGAAAGGTTAACGACAGAATAAATATATTGAGATTATATAGTGTGATTGATATAATCGATCAACATCGATTAATTTGTCAGTGAAAATTAAATTTGTCTAGTATGAAATGTTATTAGATTGCTTTTAAAAGTCATGAAGACATTTGAGTGATATTAATAATTAATTTATTATTTATTTATCTATATATAAAATGGTATAGTGCATAGAGTAGTATAGTGGTAGTGGTAGCCCGGTGGTAGAGCTCGACAAACCGAGTAACACCTTGAGAACCGAGTTCAAATCCCGGTTCTCGCACCACCGATGTTTTCATATGCGAATCAATTCCAACATGATTACCATTTATCTTACGGTGAAGGAAAACATCGTGAGAAAACCTGCATGTCTGAAAGAACCTAGCAAGTTTTCGATAGACATGTTAAGTCCGCCAACCCGCACTTGGCCAGCGTGGCGGACTATGGTCTGATCTCCCTCGTATTGAAGGGAGGCTCGAGCCCAGCCGTGGGAAGATAAAAAGGGCTGAATATATATAAAAAGACATCTTTTGTCGAACTATTTAAAAAAAATTATAACACCTAGAATTAACTAAAGAGGCTCAACTTTTAATACAATAGATGAAGAACCGATAATATGTTCTTAGTGTTGTTCTTTTAAACGTTTTAGCATAAATAATTTTATTTGTTTTTTTTTCATTGCCTCTTACTTATTCCCAATTCCGCTAAATCGCCCGCTTAAAGTGGAAGTTCTGATATCTGTATGTCGTTTTACTTAGTTTTTACTTTTAGTCTAAAAAACAAAGGCTCACTGCCCGGTCTTTGGTTAATTGGGAACTAATGAATATTACAAGTCAAGTAATCAAGCACTTGCGTCGTCTACACTAGTGTAAATATCTAGAATAACAGCATGACCTATGGATGTATAAAGTTGAGTCATTAATAGCCATTCCAATCAAAGTTCGTTTCTTTCTATAGCAAACTTTTTCTGATAAATTATACTTCAAGTGGTAAGTTTTCAGAAAAAAATATTTGAACAATATGGGTAAAGCCAGGCCAGTTCAGTAACTTATATATTAATAATTTATAAACACATATTTTGTTCATTGTCATTGGCTCCAACAAAACCGGATCCGGAAGTACTTACAACAGGAAAAGTAATGACGAATGAGTGACAATATTAATAATTATGTTCGGTGATTTAAATTTTAAAATATTCATTTAATTATTATATGCAAAAACATTAAATATTAAATTACTTATTTTATTGTACCACAGTTATTGGTAATGGTGGAATAATAGTATTTAAAAAAAAAAGAAAAAAATATCATGAAAATCAATTATAATAATTACGACATAACAGTACACACAACAAAACACGTGCGTAAACTAAGTACCTCGTACCTTCTACATTTTGTTATCGATCAAAAAAGTTGTAAATGCCCATTTAAGAATGTCCATGTAAATGTTTAGATGATAATGTCCGATCACTATCGTTTTTGAAAATATTAAATGTTTACAGTAATAATATATTGTCTAAAAGCCACATAACGAAGAATTGGATTGGAAATAATAGATACATACATACATACATGTATTAAAGCTTAATGTCATAAGATCAAACGGACGATGCAACTATTTTCGACAAATCAATTCAATTAAATACTCTTAGTTAATGGCGCAGATCATATAATACTACGAGTATACTAGTTTTAATGGCTTCCAAACTTGCCAGTTGTGCACAGATTACTTCGCCAATGTCACGTAGAAAGGAGAAGACACGAGAGAGATTGATCGGTCTGACAAATCAAATGAAAATAATATAAATTCAAATAGATATGTACAAACACTTTTGGATCGTTACTTTTTACATAAAAAATATGCAAAAATAGTGATGGAGTGATTCTAGCCTATGCAATTGCGGCGAAGAAGTCCAAACAAAAACCATAACCAGTCATGGGTGTATTTAACATACACAACAAAAATATGTATGTATTTAACATTATATATATGTAGTGTATCAACTATCTGGTATCCATAACACAGGCCTCGTAGCTTACCATGGAACTAGATGGTAGTGTGTTAATGTCCCAACATATTTATATTTATTTATTTATAACAACATCATGTAGCGATGACTTGACTTCTTCATGATGACACCAGTTTCCATCGCCTGATTAAAAGAACTTAATATAAACGTGCAACCTTGTTGTTCTTGAAGATATCTACTTACCAAAAGCCTAAATAAAATGTGGTCATATGAAGCTTTGTACGCTTTCGTCTATAAAATATCTCATTCTTCCATTCAAATATAACTAGAAAGAATTATTGAATTCATTATAATTTAAAGTCATTTTACTTAAATCGCTTGATAATTCTAATATATAATTAAGGACTTTAACTTTTATGTTAATAAAGTAAAGCAACTTAGGATTAATATTGCTCAATCATCAATTAATCAATGACCGGATATCATACGTTCCTCCTTCTTTTCCTCCTCCTCGTTTTTTGTGTTAAATTGTAAGAAAGTTAATTTTAAACTACTTTTTTTTTCATTTTTTTATTTTAAACGGATTTGAATGAAATAAAAAAAATTCACCCCGTAAAATACTTGGTGACAGACGACTGAGCCAATTAATTTCTTTTCTGTAACTGTAACAATAACTAACTATTAAAATCCATTATTTAGTAAACGGTACTAAATGACATTCCCACGCTGTAAGCCGCTTTTGACACAACAAGCTTTTTCCATTTATTCTGTTAATGGTACATAGTGTATGTTGCAATTACTGTTACAGATTATAAAAGCAGTTTTCATCGTACACAGCATTTACTATAATAAAAACCAAAGCTGGAGTAGGTAAAATGTTTAATACTTAAGCTCTGAAGTGTCTATATATACAATCTAATCTATATGTCTATCTATATATAAAATTGATGTTTTGCAGATCTTTTCTTTTTCGATTCTTCAATCGTCGGTCAGATTTAAAATGCGGTCAGGAGATATGCACAAATATGTGCACAAACTTAAGGACACTATGAATGTCATTCTCATACTGCAGTGGACGATAATTCGACAAAATTAATGAGAGATCAGGCACATGACTGACAGCTTGAAGTGCTTTCCAAGGTATGGACGAAGGATAAACCTCCACCAACGTCCCAACTCCGAGTTATGATTGAGAATAGCTTGTCAGAAACACTCAATAACTACATTTGGTCCGACCTGGAACTACCGAATCTGCAGCCGTACAAGCTACCCACTAAATCACCAAGGCAGTTATAATTAGTAGAAAACAAAAAATATTTCTCAACTCACATGTCCTTACCACGTGACCATACTCTATATGTCATTTTCATACATTTTCCAGTTATTTATTAGCGATAACGAATTTAAATATCTAATATATAAATATCTCGTGTCACGGTGTTTGTGGTCGCCCTCCTCCAAAACGGCTCGACCGATTTTAATGTTTTTTTGTGTGTATTTGATAGGTATGAAAATAGGTCGTATTTTTCACCCTATTACCCCCAATTTTTTAATCGCGATTTTCGTATTTTTGTATCTTACGTTAGATTTCTTTGATAATTTATATGGCAGAACAACGTTTGCAGAGTCAGCTAGTAACTTATAAGTTTAAATGTCTAAGGTAACTGAGTGTTAAATAGAAAAGTACTAAACAAAAGTAACTAAAGTTGACACTTGACCGTCTCCCATACTGTAGACATTCGCGCACTCAAAATGTCAACTATCCGTTGAGACCCTCTAAAATACACATACTAATATTTAGACGCAACAGACGGCGTAGAAGCTATTGTAAGGACAGATTTCTTAGTTATTTTTACTCAACTGTCATAGAAAGAGGGGTATATTTTTGTTGGTATGTACATATTTTTGTATCTACAGAACGCCATGCAGTATAATAGCTAGATGAATTTAAAAAAAATGTGATGATGTCCAATGCTGTACAGCTGTGTATATCAACATATTATATATATAAAACTAGTTACTTACCTTTGCTTCGCTCGAGTGCTTCCCTAGGCACGAATAATTCCGTAATACATTGTTTTCATATAACTTTTGATTTATGCAGCGCACGCCAGTAAAGCTCTCATTTGGAATATTTTTTTCTGACATCTGACACAAAACGTTTGGCTCAGTTTGTAGTGACCCTACTTACTGTGCCAAAGGTTGCGGGTTCGAGTCCCGCTGGGGGCATTCATTTGTGTGATGAGCACGAATGTGTGCACTCCAGTCATGGGTGTTTATATTTATAATATGTATGTATTTAAAGTTATATATGTGTAGTGTATCAACTATCTGGTATCCATAACACAAGCCTCGTAGCTTAATATGGAACTATATGGTGCCGTGTGTTAATGTCCCAACATATTTATTTATTTATTTATTTATTAACCTTAATGAATCTATTACTTTTCCATGAATCACTACGTACATTGGTGAAAACCGTATCAAAATCAGTAGTTTTTGAGTTTATCGCGTTCAGACATACAGATACGGCGGAGGAAATTTGTTTTATATGTAGTGATTGTTGAGTGATCCCATTAAATTTTTAATCACCCTTACGCTTAACTTTTTTTATACCTCTTTTACTTGTAGATTAATTTTCTTTCTCGTTCTTGTTACTTGCAAAGTTAGACGACAGGCGTTCCTAAAACAGCTGGGAATCGAACTAGTTTCATTATGAAATACACTATACTGACATTTAGTAAGATATACGATTGATAATCGATCACATAGAGAATGTAGATTCAATTTTATATTCATTTCAATGATTGAATGACTATGTTGAGAGGAGGTTAGGAAATACATACGTTCTTACATAACACATTTTATAATAACAAGTGTTCGCTCAGTGGTCAATTTCGACCATTTTTTTTATAAAACAGCTTATACTCACCAATATCAAGTAAATAAAAAAAAGAAATTCACTTGTCAAATAGAGAAGAAGATACTGAACTATTTTGTCTTTGTTATTTATATATAGACTAGCGTTTGCTCCGCCTACATATATCATATACTAAAACCTTCTCCGAAACACGCTGCATCTTATGGAATGAGTATTATTCAGATCGGTTCAGTAGTTATCGCAGTATAACCGAACAAAAATAAATCGGCTCTCCATTTATTATTAAAGATATGTACATATATAATTAATTTTAGATGTTGCTTCGTCCGTGTGTATTTCATTTACACATAATAACCGATTATCGTAAAATCAAGTAAAATTGTTAAGCTCAAGGCAAGGAAAGGTTGGTCAAGCTATATTATTGGCTATCTCACCTAAAGTGAACATTTGTTTTGACTATGAGGAAGCCGTTAACAAGAAAATTAATCTAAATAAAAAAAAAATCTATTAATTTAAACCATTTATTCGATTGTAATGAAACTTTCATGGGTTTTCCTGCGTACATGAAGAGTTCTGGTCCAAAAATAAAAATTCTCTAAAAAGTAGCTAAATTATGTTATACTTGAATTCGCACTTTTATAATAATTCTGTTTAAATCAATCCACCTGTTCTAGAAATTGGTATAGAGTCAAAGTATATCAGACCATAGATATTTTTTTAATATTTCCTTGAGCATTGGTGTCGTGCAAATGATTATATACGTTCAGTATTTAATCGCCATTTAAAATAACGGACAGACAATTTAATTTTTATGTAATAATAGATGTTATTAATTGAAATTTGAATCATAAGTAATATTTTTTTTTTAAGTTCATTTTTTTTTTAAGTTCACTTTTTTCGAGGGTAGGAGTGAAACGCGACACACTATCTTTTAACAGCTGTTTATTGTAAAATTGTTTAAAATTATTTTTGGATTGTTTTCGCGACATATTATGCTTTTGTGAGTAAAGCCACCTACCAGCAAGAGTTATCCTTCTTTAATCTCCTTTCACTTTGCACTAATTTCACTAATATGGAGTCCATCAAAGAATCACTGTCTGCACTCACTGATTTGTTCAATACCAGGATGAATGATTTTCAGCAAGACCTAAATAAGAGTTCAACACCTGTTACAAATCATGCTTTGCCTGCTGAATTCAGTAGCTTCAGAAGTTTTATTCTTTCGGTGTTGAACACGTTGCAGCGGCAGGTCGAATGTCTAGCGTTGGAGATTGATCGCCAAGAAATGAGAAGGCGTCACAAAATGATCCTTTTTCTTGGGGTACCAGAAAAAAGTGCTGAAGACACTACTGCAAGAGTCACAAGCTTAGTCGCCGAACATCTTGATTTGACTAATTTCTCCTCGGCAAGCATCAAAGACTCTTATCGTTTAGGTCGTTCCTCCGACAAACCTAGACCGATAGTCGTGAAATTCTCTGATGTTGCGGTGCGTAACAAAGTGTGGTATAGCAAAACTAAACTCAAAGGCACTGGTATAACACAGTCGGAGTTCCTCACAAAGAGCAGGCATAACACATTTTTGGAGGCGCGGCAACGTTTCGGTATTGGTAAGTGCTGGACACGCGATGGATACATTCATGTTATTGCTCCTGATGGATCTCGACATCGAGTAGAATGCAAAGGGGATCTTAACTTGATTCCCCTCGCTTCTAAATCACCTCCGCAAACCACGGCCGCTTCTAAGCATACGACGGACAAAGTGACAGTTTCACGAATAAAACGCACTGTAAAAAAATAATACATAACAATACTTTCTTTCTTTTTTTTAGTTTTCTGTAAATGTGTACTATTTGTTTATGTTAAGTTATATAAATATAATTATGTTTGTTACTTGTTGCAGTCTGTGATCTGTCACTGACCACTGTTATTTTCACAGATTATATCATAAGTGTCAATAGACAACATTTCTTTATAGTTTTTATTGTCTATGATAATTTAATGGTTGTATCGTATAAATATTATTTGTTGTTTTAAAACTTTTCTTCGTTATATTTATTTAATTTAATTTTTAATATTGTATTTTTGTGTTCTGCCGACTTGATTTAAATTTTGTTAGTAAAGTGTCGATTCTTTTCTCTTGCAACTGGCGGGTGAGTAGGTACGAAAGTATACTTGCAAATTTAATTTTTATTATATTATATTATTATTATTTATTTATTTATTTTTGTTATTTTATACTAGCATTATTATATTTATATAAATTAATATATATATGCATATTTATAGTTTTGATATCTTTGGTACGTATTTGACTTTTATTCTTTGTATTATTATATTAAAATATATATTGGATATTGTTTTAGTATATTATATTTATTTATTATATAGAACATACATATAAAATGATAAATGATTACAGTGTAAATGAATCTTTTATGTCCTTTCCCTCCCCCTCTGAAGGTGCTAGCAGCAACGACAGTTTTCATAGTATCCTAACCCTGAATGAAACTCTTGATTTGCACTTCTCAGATGTCTTGAAATTTTTTAATCTAATTCATATTAATGCACAGAGTATTCCAGCACATTATTCCGATATGTTATCTTGTCTTAACAATAAAAACATACACGCGGTTTTAGTCTCTGAGTCGTGGCTTAAGCCATGTCTCCCATCAAGCTCGTATGGGCTCCCAGGATTTCATTTGATTAGAAATGATCGCATTGGAAGAGGCGGCGGAGGTGTTGCCATCTACCTGCGTTCCCATATTCCCTTTTCCATTATAGACATGTCTCAGTCACAGGATAACGTAATGGCGGAACACATGTTTATTGAGATTATTTTCTCTAATATTAAAATACTATTGGGGGTGTTTTATAATCCCAGTCTCACGATTGATTATTTCTCCTCATTTGAAATCCTGTTAGACAAGTATAGGCCTCTCTATGATCATGCCGTGATTATGGGTGATTTCAATACTTGTCTTCTAAAGAACGATCACCGAGCTAATCGCCTCCGTTGCTTAGTTGATGGAGCGAATTTAAATATTCTTCCATTAGACGCTACCCATTACTTCCCAAATTGCAGTCCCTCGCTCCTTGATCTTATAATTGTTTCTTCCACTGATCATGTTGCTGAGCATGGTCAGTGCTCTGCTCCAGAGTTTTCCTTTCATGACCTTATTTTTCTATCTTATAAATTAAAGCCGCCAAAAGCTAAATCAAGAATTCTTCTGCAGCGCAATTTTGGTAGTATGGACGTGGAACGTTTGCGAGAAGACGCTGAACGGATTGACTGGGGGGTGGTTTCAAAGGCGGAAACCATTGATGAGCAAATGTCAATATTTACTTCACTTCTGATTGGGCTTTATGACATTCATGCTCCTGTTCGACCTGTCCGAATGAAGCATCTTCCGGCTCCAAGGCTTACCCCTGAGATTAAAAAACTGCAAAACAAAAAATATATGGCCAAATCGAAATATGCTGCAAATCCCAATGACAATAACAAAAGAAAATATATCAAGGCGCGTAATCGTTGCAATATGGTGTGTAGAGATAGCCAACGACGCCATATCTATAAATCTGTGATTGAAGAAGAAGATTCAGATAAAATCTGGAATTTTCTCAAATCTATTGGAGTAGGGAAGACACAAAATAATATTAATCCTCATAATATCGATTTAAATCTGTTAAATCAGCACTTCTCACTTTCAGGTACTATTGATAGTACAAAAAAGGTTACCACAATAAATCATCTTTCAGCTTCACCTACTCCTGATATTCCGCATTTTCAATTTAGTCAATTCTCCATAAGTGATGTTAAGAGAAATATTTTGTCTATAAAATCCAATGCTGTTGGGGCCGACTGCATTAGTCGTAAAATGATCGTTCCCGTCCTTGAAATAATAGCTCCTACAATCACTTCAATCTTAAATTTTTCCTTATGCTCCCATAAATTTCCTACTTCCTGGAAAGATGGACAAATAATTCCTATACCGAAAAAATCTAATCCTTCTTCTTTTTCCGATTATCGTCCAATTTCTATTCTCCCTTTCTTGTCGAAAGTGCTGGAGCGACTTGTGCACCGACAGCTAAGTACTTTTCTTTACAATCACAAATTGTTAAATCCCTTTCAATCCGGTTTCCGCATCGGTCATAGTACGACTACTGCCTTGGTCAAAATTGCAGATGATATTAGAGAAGGTATGAACAGCCAGAAAGTTACCATATTGACATTATTGGATTTCAGTAATGCCTTCAATACTGTAGATTTTGATATCCTACTTGCCATATTATCTTCTCTTAACATATCTCCTGAGGTGATTGATTGGTTTCGTAGTTACTTGTGCGGGCGCCGGCAACGCATACGAATTGAAGATCTTTTCTCTGATTGGTCTATGGTTAAGCCGGTGTACCACAAGGTGGCGTGTTGTCTCCTCTCTTATTTTCGATTTTCATTAATTCTATTCCCCATCAAATCTCTTCTCTCTACCACCTATATGCGGACGACTTACAAATTTACACATCGTCATCTGTGCCAGACTTACCTCATGCAATTAGTTTTAATTAATAGAGATCTGTCCTGTATTTCAGCATGGAGTGAATCTTATGGCCTTGATATTAATCCTTCTAAATCACAAGCAATTATAATAGGCAGCCAGAGGTTACTATCAAAAATATCACGATCTGGGACGCCACCGGTTATATTGAATGGTGTCGAAATTCAGTATTCTGATAAGGTAAAGAACTTGGGGATCATTTTTGACCAATATTTATCTTGGGCACCACAGGTAAGTGAACTGAGCCGAAAGATGTTTGGTGCAGTTTCCGCTCTTCGGAGGTTGCGAAATTTTTTGCCCATATCAACCAAAATTGCACTAGCAAATTCACTCCTTCTACCAATTCTTGATTACGCTGATACTTGCTATCTTGACGTTAAAGAGGAGCATCTAAATAGACTTGAGCGGCTTCAAATCTTTGTATTCGGTTTATATTTGGCCTTCGTAAATATGACCATGTTTCAGAATTTCGCAAAAAGCTCAAGTGGCTCCCAATCCGCCTTCGCAGGAATACTCATGTACTTCATCTTCTCTACTGCGTGCTGTTCTACCCTTCTTCTCCTTTCTACCTTAGAGAGCGTTTCCAGTTTTTGAGTGATACCCATACTCTTCCACTTCGCTCTAGTGAAACGTTGTTGCTTAAAATTCCCTCTCACTCCTCCTGTTTCCTTACCAACTCCTTCGCAGTAAAGGCTGCACGCTTATGGAATAATCTTCCAATAGACATCAGGCGTGCCAAAAGTTTTGATAATTTTAAGGTACAGTTAAAATCATATTATTTGTCTCTATAGTATCTTCTATTGAACTTTTTATACTTTTTCATCTGATCTACATTTATGTATGTATGCATTGTATTTATGCATTTATGTATGTATGTATATATGTAATGTATGTATGTATATACATACATGTATTATGTATGTATGTATGTATGTATGTATGTATGTATGTATGTGTGTGTATGAATGTATGTATGTATATATGTATGTATGTATGTATTTATGTATATCTGTATTTAGGATATGCAATTGTGTGTAGTAAGTACACCGCCTACCATTTCATATAATTTCTCCTACGCCCTAAGGTTGCCTGGAAGAGATCACTTATAGCGATAAGGCCGCCTGCTGTGCATCATCTATTGTTTATATCTTCTTTTTGTATATTTATTTGTGGTGTACAATAAAGCATCTATCTATCTATCTATCTAAGTTCAGTGACTTCTAACGCCAAAGTCGTATTTCTTCATTAGTTCACAGCCGTCATTTATTTGTTCTGTACGCCTGTTCGTTGAGATAATACCGGCGGCTATCTTTTTCATTTGTTTTACAAGAAACAGTAGCCCCCAGAGGCGTTCTGTCTGGACTCCCGCTTAGTGGACTTTACAATTGTATAGTTTCTTTTCAAAATCGTTATAATTTTACTTCCTACAACACTTTCTTAGACTTATACAATAAAACCTTTTTTTGTTTTTTTTTGTGGTTTTATTATGTTTTTTTGTGTCCGACACTTCGAATGCTTTACAGCAAATATGGTCACATTTTTGCTGTGAAACTAAAACTAAATTGAAAAATAGCTTTGTTCTATTTTTTAATTTTTATAATATTTTGAAGCTAAATAAATTCTTTATTCATGAATTTAGTTTCTAAATAAATCTTTGGAAAGGCAAAAGGATTATTTCATTAGTAATTGAACTAATTAATTAATTTAATTAAATCCAATAGAATTTAAACCTTGAATTTTTGCTTCTATTTTTATGGTATCCACCAAAAAAAAAACTAAAAAACACAGTCGTAGCGATAGTTGGACAAATAGATTAAGTAATGGGATTCCAATCTAACCCTTCCTTTAGGGAATTCTAATGAGATATAGATAGCTTACAATCTCTGTTTTATTTTTTATGTTAATGATTATACTAGAAAAAGTTATGTTCTTTATATTTCTATCAAACTTAGTTTTAGGCTAGTAGTCGAAAGACCTAAACAAAAAAAAAGAAAGAAAATCGGTTGACAAACAGACCATAAAGCGGTACTGAATTGTATTATCTTTTCCTATCTATATATAGATAGATAAATAAATATATCTATATATACTCGTAGATAAATAATATATAATAGGCAGTGCTAGCCCAGTGGTAATGCGCTCGCTTGAGACACCGGGTGAAACAGGTTCAAATCCCGGGTCTCGCACCTCTGATATTTTCATGTACGAATCATTTTTCAACATGATTACCACTTAAGGATGA